TCGGCGGGTTTCGGCACTTCCCCTGTGCCAGACCCGCCTTGCCCTTTGCAACTCCCTGGAGGTGACAAAAAGCATCTCCTTTAGAAGTTATATTTAGCAAGAGGGAGCGGAAGGCTTTTCCACGAGCTGGTAGTTGAGCCGGAGGCAAAAGCCGGGACCGGCAGGGCTGGAGGCAGCCCGGGCTGGCCCGGCCCCCCAGCAGCGATGGAGCCAGCCCGGTGTCATCCCGGGGAATCTTACCGTCCCACGCCCACCACAGCGCTTGTCACCCTCACCTGATGGAGTTAATTTTTGCTCCGGGATGGGCCAGGACCTGCAGGATGTGCTCCAACCCTGCAGCCAGCTGCACACCAGACAAGGTTGGACTGATTACCAACAGTCCCTTCCAGCCTAAACTACTTAACCAAAACCATCATCAGTAAGATCCTTAAACTTCATCTTCACCAGTTAAAATCTGAAGCAACATAACAGAAAGGACATTATATTACAAATAAGTAAAACTACTTTAGCCAAAGGATTTCACAGCCTCAGTTCTTCAGGCCTGTTCCCTCTTAGCTCTGTGGCCTCTCTAGAGACCTTGGGCTTGTTCCTGAGGCTCCAAGTTCACATTTCAATGAAATTGAAAAAAAATACATGGCCCTTGACTTCAAGGTAAGTGAGAAACTTGGCACAGCCCTGAAAGCTGAAAAAACAACTGAGAAAAATACAAAAACCCATCTAGAATTTTATTTACAAAACCCAAAACTAAACAACTCATGTTTTCCAAATGAAACCTCCCAGCCTTGGCAGGCTCAGGACTGGAAGGGCTGCAGGATGGAACCACCCTGCACTGGTACAAGGGGCTCAGCACCAGAGCTGCCCTGGCCAACCCACCACATCAGTTGTGGTCAGTCCCCAAAACTGGCAGCAATCGATGCCCAATTGCACTTGGTTGGGCAGGGAGCCCCGTGGACCCCAGAGAAAGGGCCTTTACCAGAATAACCATTAGCAGAGCAGCTGGAAAGCAGATCTGGGTGACAATCAGCATCAGGAATGTGAAACTGGGCCTCAGGGACACGTGGGGCTCTGGGGGGATGTGGAGGCAGGTCCCCGGGTGCCCTTGGCATCCTCCCCCTCCCGAGTATTTTTAATGCAATTACATCCCAGGACGCAGAGCTAAAATTGGAACATTATGTGGACAAAGTATCCCAAAAGTCTCCCTCATCTTAAAAAAAGGAACTGCTGTTGCTTTGATTAGCCTGCAGCTCCTGTCCTGGCTCCCACTGCAGGGTTTGGAAGGTCTGTCCTAATTGCACGCACGCTCATCTCATTCACTTCATTTCTGCTGCCCCTGTTCTGTGTCTCAGGTGTCAGGACAGTAAGTTTGGTGATTTGTGGCCGGGAGGAGTCACTGCACATGTGGGCACCTGCAAATCCCTGACCAACAGCTGCTTTGGGGCACATTTCACCTTTTCAGCAAAGCACTGAGGACCTTTTAGGGGTGTGGTCAAAGGCTCCAGCCAGGTGCATAAAGCTCCTTGACAAATGCCCAAATCTCTTTGAAATAAAAGAAGGTCAGAACAGCTTGGGTGTCACCACTGTGGCGAGCATGGCATCAAAGCACCCATCCTCCCACTGCACAGCACATCCAGGACATGCTGCCCCCCAGCCCAGCACTGCCAGACACTGGTCCCCACATCCCAGACACCCTGCAGATACAGTCCCAGCCCAGGATGACAGCTCTGATCTGAGTCCAGGGGAGCTTTCCTCTCTAGTCCTCACTGCTTTTATTGTTGACAATCACTTACAATAGCAAAGTGACTCCAGGGTTGCCATCCCCTGGTCCCTGTCACTCTCCAGCCCAGCACTGCAGCCACTTTCAGGGCTGCACAGCCAGATCATAATTTTAAGGTCAGTTTTATACTCTTGTACAGCAACCCATAACCCCGGGTCTCTCCCTCTCTTTCTTTCTTTAATAACACCATAAAGATGTTGCAAAGGCCTGTAAAGTGCTGACAGAAGTTGAGAGAATTTAAAATCCAGACATTAAATTTCTGAAATGAGAAACCCTTGTTTCTAGAGGGTGCACAGCAGCAGAGCTCACCTGCTTTCCCGAGAGCATTCCCAGGGGAAAGGGAAGCAGCACAGCAAGGCAAGGTGAGGACGTGGCTCCATCTGTTCCAGGACCTTTGCAGCCACTAGTCCCTTGCCTGATGGCCCCAGTGCAGCCCCCCACAGACCACACTTCTCCACCAGCAGCAATTCCTGCCCCCAGGAGCCAGCCCAGATGCATTTGCACCAGGCACATAGGCAGCAGGACTCTGTCCTAATGCTGGTTCCAGGATGCTGCATCCCCAGTACCAGGGTAACTCTTCAGCTGATGCCACAGGCCAAAGTAATTCCAGCCCCAGGAAAACCCTGACTGGGGCCCAGCCTTGCCCTGTCCTTGGTGTGCACACGGCAGCAAGATCCCATTTGCCAAGATCCCAGCATCTCCAGGCCCCCTTTGCAGGTGCCAGGGTCACCCTGTTATTCCCTCCTCAGGAGACACCCAAGTAAAACCACCTTTGTCACAGAGCTAAAGTGGCATCAAAATTAAGCTGAAGATTCATCCCATTAAGCAACATGTAATCAGGGAAACCACCACCCAAACCTAAAGTTTGGATGAACTTACTAAGAGCATGAAATCTCAAAATCTGATTCAAGTTCACATGATTCCATAAGACTGAATCTGCTTTCCTTAGCTATGGCTGCATGCACAGAATAGTAAATAGAAGCAACAGATGTAGAAAAGTATGAAAGTTGCCACCAACAGCTGTCACAAAACCCAGTTAAACCCCTCGAGCAACCATCTTATTTCCAGTGCCCTGGGTTGCATTTGCAGGGATCCTCAGAAAACACACACCCTTCCTGAGCCTGACTCAACCACCACAGCTCATTGCTGGCTCAGTTCGCACTTTTCTGCTGGAATTCGTCCTTGGAGCCGACGGTGCTTCCCCATGAAAATCAGCCTGAACATGCAAATCAGCCCATCATTCTCCCACGTTGGGGGTAAACGGCAGCAAAGGGCAGTTCGGGTCCGGGAGCGGCTCCGTGAGCCCATCGCTGCCGCGCAGAGCCCAGGCGGGTATTTGCAGCGAAACCCCGGCTGTGTCCCCCTCCAGAGCCCCTGGCTGGGAGGGACAGCCACACCATCCTGCCATGGCACAGACCCCTCAGCGCTGGCACAGCCCATTTCCCGC